TATATTTTATTGATTTTTTTTTTACAGAGAGGAAAGGAGAGGGATAGAGTTAGAAACGTCGATGAGAAACATCTATCAGCTGCCTCCTGCACACCTCCTACTGGGGATGTACCCGCAACCAAGGTACATGCCCTTGACTGGAATCAAACCTGGGACCCTTCAGTCCGCAGGCCGATGCTCTATCCACCGAGCCAAACCAGTTTTGGCAACCCCCAGATATTTAAATATAAAGAATTGATTATTACAAAATTTAAAAGTCACAAGAAATAAAAACAGTCCTCTTCACATTAATCACTGAGGGCTGTGTGTTCCCTTAGTGGACATTTGGTTCCTAACACCAGCTGTGCAGGAGCAGGCAGGAGCAGGGCAGGGCAGGAGGAGAGCAGGAGGAGGGCAGGAGGAGGGCGGGAGGAGGGCGGGAGGAAGGCGGGAGGAAGGTGGGAGGAGAGCGGGAGAAGGGCGGGAGGAGGATAGGAGGAGGGTAGAGAGAGGGCAGGAGGAGGGCAGCAATGCTGGGAGGCAGGCTCAGTCAAACCAAGGGACTGAGCAGGAAATAAGTGCCCTGGAGCAAACAGCTTTAGGACGAAGGAAATGTCAAATCAAAACACAGCGAACATCATTCGTCTTACAAATAAGTGGCCACTTGTCTTAAGCAGCCAGTGGCCTGCACCAAGCTGCTGTTTAATTAAATTTCCTCTGAAAGGAACGTGGGCTTGATGGTTGCAGTCATCTGATGGACCTGCCCTGTGACACAAGCGCTGAGCGCATGGCAGCCCTTCCTTCCCAAAGACTCTGCCCAGAAGGCCTGGCCCACTGTCTCCTCCGTGAACAGAAACCACTGTGATCACTTGAGAGAGAAGATGAGGAGGAGCATGTCAGATCCAACACAGCAGCGGAAGGGGAATAAAAGGCACCGTTCTCTGTCCCACGCAGTGGCGGAAGCAGGCCGAGGCCTCCTCCCGTACTTACTGTCCACTTTTGATCCACACGGACTGGGTGTAGAAGTGCAGGTCCTTGTTCAGAACCGAGTTCACGGCCTCTTCGAGGTGCAGCTCTCTGCCCTCACAGTGCTCCAGAGCGAAGAGGCTGAGGGAGGGCTCCTCAAAGACCTGCCGATAAGAAGGAGGGAGCATCAGCAAGCGCAGGGACCCAGCTCCCCACTTCTTAGAGTTTTCTGCTCTACCCTCTAAAGATGTTCTAGCCAGACCTGAACTGGTGAGATTAATTCTAATAAATAAAAATCAATGGAACCTAAAGTTAAAATTGATGTTTCAGAAAACAATCTTAATCAATATAATAAAGAGCCAGGGTCGTAACAACCGAATGCTCGACCAAACACCAGAAATCAGTGCTGGGTTGCCGTGGTGACTGGGTTCCCTGACCCAGCACTGACTGCCTAGGGAGCTGCAGATCAGGCCTGAAGAGAGGCCTGCAGACAGAGAGAGGCAGGGTCTGATCCGTAGCCTCTGTGGCAGCCATTGATCAGAACTTGCCTCTCGTTCTCTCCTGGCCTGCCCAACAGTTGGGCCTCCATTTCTCTCTAGGCCTCCACTGGGGCTGCTGATCAGCCCCACCTTTCTGATCACGTCCCAGTGATAGGCCCAGAGATGCTGACTGGCATAGAGCCCGAACAATCAGAACCAAATCTGGGTCAACTGTGAGGAGCCAATGGCTGCCTAGGAGGCGGAGCTTTTGATGCTGACTGGCATAGAAACTGACCAATCAGAACAAAATTGGCTGGCAGAGGAGGGCAGTTGGGGGCGAGATCAGGCCAGCAGGGAAGGGCAGTTAGGAGCAATCAGGCAGGTAGGGAGAGGCAGTTAGGGGTGATTAGGCAGGCAGGCAGAGAGTTTAGGGGCAATCAGGCAGGCAGGCAGAGAGGTTAGGGATGATCAGGCAGGCAGGTAGAGGGGTTAGGGGCAATCAGGCAGGCAGGCAGGTGAGTGGTTAGGAGTCAGCGGTCCCGGATTGTGAGAGGGGTTTCTGATCGCCGGTTTAGGCCCCATCCCACAGGGGCCTAAACCAGCAGTCAGACATAACCCGAGGGGTCCCAGATTGGAGTGGGTGCAGGCTGGGCTGAGGGAAACCCCGCTCTGTGCATGAATTTCATGCACCGGGCCTCTAGTTTCATAATAAAAATGGACACCTGCCTCCAATCACATGTTAAGGGCTGGTTATCTGTAATTTGAGCATTTTGATCCTGCCAATGCTTTTAGCTGGCAACAGAATAAACATGGAACAGAATGGCACCCTCCTTCCTCAGGAGGCACAGGAGCAGCCACCAAGAAGACAGACTTTATGGCTCTAGGTTCTTAAAAACATTCCTAGGAGGGAGAAGGAGGCATTTTTAATTTAGTGATAACAACCCACATGCACAGGGACAGGGGTGACTTCTGCACTGAAAGTCTCCCCCAAATTTTCATGTTAGACAAGAACAGCATCAACATTGCTCTTTTCCATTCAAGACACTATGCTAGGAGACTTTTGGGGGATGAGAAATCAAAGTAATTAAGGTCTATTTTTTGGTATTTTAAAATCTCTTGTGAGTCAAAAATATTTTCCTCTATTTTTTTGTGTGTGGAGTGTGTTCAACATTTATTTATTAAGGCAAATTAATTCTTTTGTTTTTCAAATTTTTGAAACCTTAGGCCAAGTCCTGGAAAGGACGTGGAGAAAAGGGAACCCTTGTACACTGTTGGTAGGAGTGTAAATTAGTATAGCTACTAATGGAAAAGTCTGGAGATTGCTCAAACACTTAAAAATAGAGCTGCCATGACCTAACTGGTTTGGCTCAGCAGAGAGAGCGTCGGTCTTCGGACTGAAGGGTCCCAGGTTTGATTCCAGTCAAGGGCATGTACCTTGGTTGCGGGCATATCCCCAGTAGGGGCTGTGCAGGAGGCAGCTGATTGATGTTTCTCTCTTGCCATACAACTCGGTAATTCCACTTCTGGGCATGTATCTGATGAAAACAAAAACACTAGTTGGAAAAGAGACATATGCAGCCCTATGTTCATTGCAGTGCTACTAGCCAAGATATGGATGCCACCCAGATACCCATCAATACATGTATGGATAAAGAGGAAGTGATCTCTCTCTCTCTCTCTCTCTCTCTCTCTCTCTCTCACACACACACACACACACACACACACACAGAGAGGAATGTTTTTCAGCAATAAAAAGTAATGAAATCTTGCTACTTGCAATAATGTGAATGGACTTAGAGAATATTATACCAAATGAAGTATGTCTCAGATAGAGAATAAATACCATATGATCCACTTATATGTGGAATATAAAAAACAAAATAAAGGACAATAAAAAAAGAGAAACAGACCTATAGCTATAGAGGACAAGCTGATGGTGGCCAAAAGGGAGAGGCTAAGGGACAAAAAATAAGCAGGAAATTAAGTAAAAAAAATAATGAAAAATAAGTTAACAGGCCTGTTCCACATATGGGCAACTGGCGACTTGGCAGGAAGCCCTGAGAAAGCTATGCTACGGGGCTTTGTGCAGGCGCTGCCTGCACTCCCAGCACTCCTTGTTGCAACAGGGAAACCTGAGTGGGTAAAGGGACCATCCCCGGCCCTGGCGTTTCCCATCAGAGACAGGATCCTTTCTACCTTTGAGAAAAAATAAATAAATTTTGATGAAGAGAAATAAAGGAAATTGACCCATGATAAGGAAAAACCAAAACAAACAAGAAATCAAAGCAAGGCACCATCCTTGTGTTCCAGGCATTACTAACCAGCAGCTAATTTAGGACAACTCAGGTTCTGTAACCTAATTCAGGGGAGGACAGGAGGTGGCCTGTGAGAGCACTCGGTGGAAGGCTAGAACAGTTTTAGCAGAAAGGAGTAGGAATCAAGGCAGTTTCATGGATGTGATAGCGTGTGAGCTCAGGCTATAGGGTGCAATGAATCTGGAGGGGCCAGGACAGAGGAGAGGGAGGGTCCCCTGTGTGAAGGGAGGGAGACAGAAACTGCTTGTGGGTGTGCTCTGGGGAGGTGGCTCAGTTGGTTCGGTGTCTTCCCATGAACTGAGAGGTTGCTGGTTCCATTCCTAGGCAGGGCACATGCCCAGGTTTCAGGCTCGATCGCCAGTAGGGGAACGTGCAGGAAGCAGCCAATCGACATTATGCTCTCCCTTCAATGTTTCTCTCTTCTCCCTTCCTCTCTCTCTAAAAAATCAAATTATTCTTTAAAAAAGAAAAAAAAACTGCTTGGGGTGTGCTAGGGGAAGAGCAAGTCGAGCCGTTTAGCTAGATTAGAGTCCAACAGGCCACAGTGCCACCTGCTCCCACTGCTTGCCACTGTCCACTGAGCTGCATGATTCTCTTCTGATACTGACAGGTGGAGACAGAACCGCTGCAGTGGGGTGTCCTCGAAGGCCTGAGGACTGGGGACTAGGACTGGGCTGAGGATCTGTAGCTTGGTACATGAGAAGTGAAGCACCAGCAGCAGGCACTGTGCGAGGTCAGCAAAGAACCGACTCACAGCTGACCTGCGCATATACTTGCACAAGAGCAAAATGAATTATAAACGTGTTCTTCCTTGCAAAAGTGTTAGGAATAGCAAAGGATGGGGAATGAGTTAAATGTTCATCAAGAGAGGACTGGTTAAATAAATTATGATACATTCACAGAGGAATTCTATATAGCTATACAAATGAGATCTTTATGAAATATCTGTAAGTTTTTATTTTTTAAAATATAATTTTATTGATTTCAGAGAGGACAGGAGAGGGAGAGAGAGATACAAACATCAATGGTGAGAGAGAATCATTGATTGGCTGCTTCCTGCACACCCCCAACTGGGGATCAAACCCACAACCCAGGCTTGTGCCCTTGACTGGAATTGAACCTGGGACCCTTCGGTCTGCAGGCTGACGCTCTATCCACTGAGCTAAACCAGGTAGGGCTATAAGACTGATTTTTTAGAAGCAAATACTAAGTAAAGAATAGTGTAGCCCTGTGTGGCTCAGTTGGTTGGTTGGGTGTTGTCTTGTGCACCAAAAAGTTGCTGGTTTGACTCCCAATCAGGACACATGCCTGGGTTGTGGGCTTGATCCTCAGTAGGGGGAGTGCAGGAGACAGCAGATCAATGCTTCTTTCTCTCCCCCTCCTTTCTCTCTAAAAAATCAATTAAAAAATCTTTAAAAAATAGGGTAAAATAGCATACTTCTTATGTTATCATGATGATAAAAAGGGAAAACTTATACACATGTACACAAGGTGAGGCAAAAGTAGGTTCATATGGAAAATAATGTAATTAATAGTACAAGTTGTATACTCACAAGTGTAAACCTACTTTTGCCCCCCTGTTTGTGTACTTGTATGTATATTAAAAATGTTCTTAAAAAATATAAAACTAACCATGACTACCCTTCAGTAGGATAGGATCTGAGAAGATACAGGGCACAAGTAGGAGCTAAGTTTTTTACTGCATGCCTTTTGTTACTTTTTGGGTTTTAAACCATGGGAATATATTGTTTATTCAAAAATTTACATTGGAAATTATTATGCATATGTTTTCATATATATGTGTGTTTGTGACTACTTTTAAATAAATGGCCTTCAGGAACTGTATCTGGCAACATGAGTGAAGAAAAGAATTGCCTGGCAGGCGTGGCTCAGTGGTTGAGCATCAACCTATGAACCAGGAGGTCCTAGTTTGATTTCTGGTCATAGATATATCCGGGTTGAGGGCTTGATCCCCAGTGTGGGATGTGCAGGAGGAAGCCGATCAATGATTCTCTCTCACCATTCATGTTTCTATCTCCCTCTCTCCCTTCCTCTCTGAAATCAATCTATATAATAAAAGCCTAAGTGACTGTTACGGCGGAATGACCAGAACTACTGGTTGCTATGATGTGCACTGACCACCAGAGGGCAGACACTCAATGCAGGAGGAGCTGCCCCCTGATGGTCAGTGCCTTCCCACAGGGGGAGCGCTGCTCAGCCAGAAGCCAGGCTCATAGATGGCGAGTGCAGTGGTGGTGGCAGAAGCCACTCCTGCCTCCGCAGCAGTGCTAAGGAGCAGCAAGCCACCAAGCAGTAAGGAGCGAAGGATCCCGGATTGCAAGAGGGATGTCTGCCCGCCGGCTTAAGCCT